CGGTCTGGAAAAGGCCCTGGGCAGCCTGCTGTAGGTGACCCTGCTTCGGCAGGGGGGTTGGGCTAGGTGACCCACAGAGGTCACTTCCAAACCCTGGGATTCTGGGATTCTGTGACTCTCTGACTCTCGACTCTCTGTGACTCTCTGTGACTGACTGACTCTGTGACTGACTGACCCTGACTCTGTGACTCTGTGACTCTGGGCTGATCTTGGTCTTTGTGCTCTCTCTTTTCAGATGCTGTGCTGCAGCGCACCCCGTAGCAGAGGGCTCACCCGAGCAGCCTGAGCGTGGAGGGGTCCAGCTCCCACCTCCTGCACTCTGACCTGTAGCACTTTACAGTCCCCCTCCTGCTGCTGCATGGGCTGTGCTGACTCCCGCTCCGCTCAGAGTCCAGGCAAGTAAGGCTCCATGCGGCACATCCACGCGGAGACGTCCGTGCCCCCAGAGCACGGCACAGACTCCAGCCTGTCCCGGCCCAGTGGAGAGGCACCCTTGGAGCCTTCCTCGCAGCGCTGCACCCACCGCAGCATCCTCATGGGCTACAACGAGACGGAGATCAAGCGCCAGAAGGTTTACCAGGTCTCCATCTTCTCCCACCTCTCCAGCTCCTCTGAGAGCACGGAGCAGCGGGCAGGCAGCCGGCCGGCCAGCAAGAGGAGTTACCCCGAGCAGCAAACTCCGGAGTGGGGGCGAGATCCCAAACGAACTCATTGGGGTGGTGGTGGGGTGGACGGCAGACGCGACGGGGGCCCTGGGCAGGCTTCCCTGGACGATGATGATACCTTGGAGGATGGTCTGCTGGTGGAGGAGCTGTCCCTGTGCGGCTCTGCCCAGCACTTCTCCCACAGTGGGCTGCGGGTAGTAGAGCATCGGTGTGAGGGCAGCCCTAGCCACAGCCCCAAGGCCAGCAGAGAGAACAAGTCGCAGGATGTCGCCTGCTCCTCCTGGCCCCAGCACATTGCTTGCAGTACTTTGCACACGAGAGACAGTTGCCCTGTCTCATCGGGGGATCAGCCCACAGACTGTGGGGAAAATGGGGATCGGGCAAGTGGCCACAGCTTACTTCACCGTGATTTGCACAATATTGCACAAACGGCCCAGTTGGACTCTGGTGGGAAGACAGAGAAGTCAGGGAGCAGCCCAGCTCACAGCAGCAGGACCGGCGGCAAAGAGGAATGTCCCATGGCAGCCAACGGGTGCAAGGAGCCCCTGGCTCCGCAGGCAGCCCTCAGCCCCGAGCCCAGCAACCTGAGCTCCATGGAGAAGACACCCTGTGGGAGCAGCAGGCTCCCCCCCAGAAAAAAGAACCCGCCTGCCCGCTGGTGACGTTGTGGCTGACTCCTGCTCTGAAGATGAGAGCCTGTCCCTGCCGGCAAGGAAGAAGAGGGTCCTGCCGTGCCATCCGGTGCCTACGGCCTGCCGTAGCACCGATGCCAAGGGGGCTCCGTTCTGGAATCACCTGCTTCCCACGGCCAAGGTGAGCATTGCTCGTGAGGGGAGGCAGGGCATGGCACCGGGACCCCGGAGCTCCGGGCTGTCCTTGTGGGCGATGTGGTCCATCGTGGCACAGCACCCTGTCCTGCCCCAGTGCCACAGCACTGCTGTGAGCAGGACAGGGCTGACAGCCAGCCCTGGGACACACGGTCTGTAGGCTGCCACCAACTCGTGGCACCTTTTAGTTACTGGATCTTCTGGTTGCAACCAACTCTTTGGCCTGGAGAGCCTTGCTCAGACCGGACACGACCTACCTGTGACAGTGAGAGCTGGACATAAGGCATGGGGCCACACTCCTTGTCTGCCAGCTACACGTTAAGCCAGACTTACCGGCAGGCTTGGGAAGAGTGGCTGTCTTCTGCTCGCCTGACGAGGAGGAAGCAGAGGGGTGGGATGGTTTGAGTCCCTGGCCATGATATCCAGGGGTTTGGTGGCAGGGAGTGGGACTGGACATGCTCTGGCCAGGAAGTGGGAGACCCGGTGCTGTGTGCAGAGATGCCACTGGCTTTTCTGCAGTTCGGGGGTGCCCGTGGCGTGTCCCCAGGGTGCCACAAACTCAGAAGTGGGGCATACTCCGGAGGTTCACAACCACACTGGCAGCTCCATCCCTGCCTGCGTGTCCTTTTTGGTGACTCTCTGCCAGCCCGGCTGCCCCTAGCACTGCCGTTGCAGAGTGAAGCCCTCCAGCAGCTTCCCTAGGTTTTCCCACCCGGTCATGCCAGCCAGCTCCTTCATCATCCCTTTGTGTTGTTCTGCCCTTTGTGTGGCTTCCAGAAGGGAAAACCCCTGAAAAGGGGACATCTTTAAAAGGAGTCTGCAGTGTGGCCCTGGCTTTAACCCCCCACCCCACAGCTGCAGGAGCCTGGCTTGGGCAGTGGGCCACTCTGCCCGGCGGCAGTGCCGAGGACTTTGCATGAATCACCAAGGGACCGGACTTTTCCTGGGCTGGTTGGGGAGCTTCATCACACGTGTTGCCCTTCCCCGGGAGGTGCAAGGGGGTGTCAGTGCATGGCTCTGTCTGGGGGTCTCTGGTCACTGGGGCTGGTCCTGACACCTCCTTTGCAAGGTGGGAGCTGTGTGCTGCACCCTCAGCTTGGGTACCAACACCCTCATCCCCAGCAGAGCCACTCTGGGGTCTGGGCAGCCCCACATCTCCCCCAGACACTTGTGCTGCTGGCCAGCCCTGCAGAGGCTGGTTACAGCTCCCCAGGGACGGGAGCCTCTCCAGTTTGCTGGGACCCTTGTGTGGGGCAGGGCAGGGGTTGGTGACAGCAGTGTGCCCTGGCTGTCAAGAAAGCTAGTGGGATCCTGGGATGCGTTAGGAGGAGTGTGGCCAGTAGGTCGAGGGAGGTTCTCCTCCCCCTCTACTCTGCCCTAGGGAGGCCCCATCTGGAGTCCTGTGTCCAGTTCTGGGCTCCCCAGTTCAAGAAAGATGAGGAGCTACTGGAGAGGGTCCAGCGGAGGGCTACGAGGATGGTGAGGGGACTGGAGCATCTCTCCTACGAGGAGAGGCTGAGGGAGCTGGGCTTGTTCAGCCTGAAGAAGAGAAGGCTGCGAGGGGACCTTATAAATGCCTACAAATATCTGAAGGGTGGGTGTCAGGAGGATGGGGCCAAGCTCTTTTCAGTGGTGCCCAGTGACAGGACAAGGGGCAATGGGCACAAACTGAAGCACAGGAAGTTCCGTCTGAACATGAGGAAGAACTTCTTCCCTCTGAGGGTGACGGAGCACTGGAACAGGCTGCCCAGGGAGGTTGTGGAGTCTCCTTCTCTGGAGATATTCAAGACCCAGCCTGGACAAGGTCCTGTGCAGCCTGCTGTAGGTGACCCTGCTTCGGCAGGAGGGTTGGACTAGATGACCCACAGAGGTCCCTTCCAACCCCGACCATTCTGTGATTCTGCGATTCTGTTACACCTCCTAGGGGTGCGCAGTCCCCCGTTGCTGCCCTAAGACGGTTCTCTGTTTCGTGTTCCCTCCAGAGCTCTGCAGATTGCACTGCCATTGGGAGGAGGCTGAAGAGTGGGCTGCGCCTCAAATCGTGAGTGTCCCAGCAGCCCTGCGGGAGGGACCTGGGGGCTCGGGGCGCCCAGCACCCTGCAGCCCTGTGGGAGGGCCAGGTTGGGTCCCTTCCCTGCCCCAGATGTGTCCCCTCCACAAAACCCCAGGCTGTGGGGCAGAGGGAGGTTTCTTCTGCCTCTAGTGGGTCAGAAAGTGGGTTCAACCTCCACCGAAGAAAGGGACAGGGGGACCTGGACAGGGCAGCCCAGGGCTCCATGCTCTCCAGTCTGACACCAATCTTCTCTGCTCTCTCAAAGGCGACATCTTCGGAGCAGCCTCCGGAGGGGTGCCAGGTCCTCTGCAGCGCCCTGGGCCACCACCACTGTCAGCCATGCTCTACTGGGCAACTTCGAGGTAATGGTACCTGCCTGCCAGGGAGGGAGTTGGGTCCCGGGGGCTTCAGGCTGGGCTGATGATGGACGCGAGAAGCTGACCCTGACAGGATCCCAGCTGTGGGGCTGGGCTGATTGTCCTCAAAGGGCTGGCATGCAGTGGCCGTGTGACACAGCCACTGTCCACCAGCAGGATGTCTCAGCCAGCAGATCCTTGGGTGACGTGCCAGGACCCTGGACCCTGCTGAGATGGCTGCAGTGGGGCTGAGCCGAGGCGCTCTCGCTGCTTCTCTGCGTTAGGTGGCTGGTTTTAGCCTTACCAGTTGAGGATGGGTCTGTCTCGCAGCGAGCATCCGGGGCCCATCACGGGTGGTCTCCAGAAAGCCAGGAGACACGCGAGGGCCAGCAGACACATGGTTGCAGTGGAGATGGGGGTGATCTCACCCGCAGCTTTGAGGTGAGGGGCAGGACTGGTGTTTGAAGGTCCCTAAAGCTTCCCTCCTCTCCCAGGAGTCCATCCTGAAAGGGTGCTTTGCACCCTCGGGGAGGATTGAGGGGTTCACGGCAGAGATCGGTGCCAGCGGCTCGTACTGCCCCCAACACGTCACCCTGCCTGTTGACGTCACCTACTTCGACATCTCCGAGCACAGCGCGCCCTCGCCTTTCCTGGTATGCGGACGAGGGAGGGCTGGGACCCTGGGGGAGGTGAGTGGGGGCTGCACCCAGGCACCCGGCATCCTGGGGGCTGCCCCTCTCCGGAGACCGCGGCTCGAGCAAGCCGTCTCATGGCTGTTGCTTTGTGGTCACCTCTGTGTTGCTGCTTATTTGTCCCCGGGGTCTGGAGGGGGACTGAACCGGGCTGCTTCTTGCCACCTTGTGCCAGGCATTGCTGGCGAGGAGGGCTCTCAGCCCCGTGCCAGGTCCCTGCTGGGCTCTGCATGGGCTTTCTCCCTCTCTCACGTGATCTTTCTTTTGCCCCAGGGAGTGATTGACTTGGAGGCCTTGGGAAAGAAGGGTTACAATGTCCCCAAAGCTGGAACCATCCAAGTGGTGAGTCATCCCCTGGCCTCCGTCAGTGCTGTGGGGAGGGGACCCGCTGGGCTCCAGTTGCCCCCCCCCCGGGCGGGGATTTTTTTTTGGCAGGGCAGCAGCCAGGAAGCCTGTGGAGAAGGGGGTACGTGGCCACCAAGGCAGCACAACGGAGGGGAGCACGGGCTCCCTGGGGTGATGGTGATAGGAGATGCAAGAGAGGAAGAGGTTGGTGAGGAGGGACAGGGTCTTGGGAGGGGAGCGTGTACGTGCAGTGGGGATGGGATGCGATGGGGTGGCAGCACAGGAGTGGAGGTGGGTGGAAAGGACTGACGTGTGGGCCTTAGGCTAAGTCCTTCGGGGGTGGTGTGGGGCTTTCTGGACCCTTGGGCCTGCTGGTGCTACCCCCAGCCGCCCCAGCCCTGCCCTGCTGATCCGTTCCTGTGCCCTTCCTAGTCTCACCCCCTACCCCTCTGCCCCCAGACCTTATTTAACCCCAACAAGACTGTGGTGAAGATGTTCTTGGTGACGTACGACTTCCAGGACATGCCGGCCAACCACATGACCTTCCTACGCCATCGCATCTTCCTGGTGCCTGTGGGGGAGGAGGAAGGGGCCACCGTGGTCCCCGGCGGCCCACCGGGCACCGGCCCACCCCGTAGGGTCCTCTGCTACCTGATGCACCTAAGGTAGGGCACGCCGGGAGGGATGGACGCCTGCCCCAGGGTCCCCCCTGCACTCCTCTCCTGTGTGTCCCTGCCTCCCCCAAACCTGCAGGCCAGACTGGGAGGGCGACAGGCTGACCCCCTCACCCTGGGGAGGAGCAGGGACCGGCTGCTGCCTGGAGCTGCTGCCCTCCCCAAGGGCAGCAGTCTCTGACCCTCTGGAGGCAGCTGGAACGTGGACACCTTGACCAGGGGCTAACGTAGGCGAGGGGGTCGTGCCCCCCACCAAGGCTGTCCTGCCCCTTGCCTGGGAGCCTGAGGTTCCTCCGCCCTGCTCTTGTCTCTGCTCAGGTTCCACAGCTCCAAGTCGGGGAAGATCTACCTTCACGACGACATCCGGCTGCTTTTCTCCCGCAAGTCAATTGAGGTCGACTCGGGGATCCCCTACGAACTGAAGTCCTTCACGGAGATGCCGAGGAACCCCTGCTACTCGCCCCGGGCCTGACCTTCTCCATCCCCCAGGGCCACCGGGGAGCCTCCAGCCCAGCACCTCGGGGGAGAGATGAGTAACGGGCTGGCAAGCAAGCACCACCTCGAAGCATCGCCCTCCCCACACGCCGTGCCCATGCCCTGCGCCGAGGGGTCTTGGCCAGGAGGGGCAGGGGCTGGGGAGCAGCCCAGTGCTCCAGGGACATGCCCAAGCCTCTGGCAGTGCTGCTCCTGGCTTGGGGACTTGGCTGGAGTCGTGGCGGGGGGTGAGGAGTTGGGGTGCGGGGCTCCGGGTGAGGCTGCCCACACTGCTCCCAGTGCTGGCAGCAGAAAGTGTGGAAGAAATTTGTATTTATTAGTATTTATTGTTGCTGGGAGCATAGGGGATCAGAGGTGCTGTGCTGTTCTTCCCCCCAGGCCCGCCGGTGCC